ATAGAAGGAACTGATAGAGGCATGGCGGACACATAACTGCAGTCAGACATCACGAACAGATGGTCCTCCTTTCAGCCAAGGTTTTCAGAGGTGAAGTGAAAAAACATTAGTTAAAAACTGCATGGGTGTGCAATATACTATCAATTATTCAAAGTTTTTCAGGAAGTGCCAAATGACTAGTCTGTAAAAGGGAAAAATCTTAGAATTCACAGGCCAATGGGGATCTTCTCTCAAGAGGAGAAAAAGAGGTCTGTCTGCTTAAGGAGAGAATAGAAACATTGAATACTGCTCAGCTGAGTAAAACTAAGAGCAAGCATCTAGCTTACCCATTACCTTATGTTCTTACAGCTTATCCATAAGGACTTTCTGTAAGGATTTGTTCAATAATAGAAAGTCAGAAAAAAAAAATGAAGGAAAGGTGTCTCACCAAAAAAAAAAATCTTGCGACAGTGAATTTATGTATATCACAAGAGTGAGCAAGGGTCACCAGCAAGTTACTCTGACGGTCACTTAGGCAAGCAAACTAAAAATGTTTGTGTGCTAGTATGGTTGGCCACATCTAGAGGCACAAAAGAGTGCTGGGCTGCCCTCTGCATTCAAGGGCATTCAAATAGACTAGACTTTGCTTGGAACAGTAGATTGCAACCTGACCTACAGAAAATGGATCTTCAGCATGAGAAAAAGCCCATATAGAAAATATGTCAGCAAGAGAAAGAAAGGATCTAAACTTGTAGGACCTGCCTTTGCAGAAAGCCTTACCAGATGTCCACATCCTTGCTCTTAAAAAGAGCTAACAGAAACTGAACAAAACCTTTGCTCTCCTCGAGAAAGAGAAACTTACAGGCAGCTGAAAAAGAGAGTGCAGGCAGGCTTTGAAACTCCTGCTCTTTGCTGCCTACACTATGCTACTTCTAGGATATAGCTAAATGTATAGCCGATACATAGATAGTAGCAACTACAGTGCCTCATTAGGATTCTTTGAGAAAATTCGTTTCACCCAAAATTTTAAATGAATCTAAATGAAACCTATCATCTCCCCAGTAACTCCATTTCAGAGAGTCCCATCACTGCTGGTCCCACTCCTTTATAGGGTAATAGCAAAGGCCCCTGGCCCTGCTTCCCACCCAGCACCTCATGCGCAGCTGGGGGCTGTTGCCACCGAGGAGTGGCAACAGTCTCTGTGCCAGGCTCATTGGAGATGGAGCCATCAGTTCCCACGAGGTTTTAGTTAAAACAGCACAACAATAAAGTGGGCACACTATATTGAGCAATACTCGCTTTTTGTCTTTTTTCTAGGGTAGGCATTTTGCTAAGGCCCTGATTTCCAAGATTCACTGTTCTTGTACTGTATTTGCACTGTTATCTGTAAAATAGGGGACCTTAAAAATCAGTGAGGTTACAATCCTCCCGTAGCCAACTGGTATTTCCACCACCTCTACCACCAGTGGTCATTTGTAGGCTGTCTGGTGAGTTAGGCCAAAAGGAGCTTAATCACCTCAGCTATCAGACATAGCAATGAGACTGCAGCAAAGAGTGAGGCGGAGTCTGGGTTTCTGAATGCTAGGCACCTTCTCCAACCCCAGCTCTTCCCTGAGATCCTGATCTCTACTTCTCAGGGCAATTTGCCACCAGCACTTCCACCAAGTATCCATCCAAACCTATGGTCAGATAAATCCAGTGCGTCTGGACACAAAAACTCAGGTGACTGCTTCCTATCTCAGGGACCTGTGTTGTTGCTTAACAGTCAGTATTTCCCTCTTCCTCAGCATAGTTTTTCCCCTCAGGCTAGCATCCGCCATCTCTTCGTCCTCCAGCACTTCTGCTTGATCCCATGAAAGTGCCAAGCTAGCTCCAGGATGGTCCTATCACTCACTGGAAGTCACCTCAAGCATCGACTTTCACAGTTGGTTCTTCTTCCACCTCACTAGGACAGGCAGTAACCTGGTCTGCTTGCCCTTAAAGCTAGCACCAGTATCAGTTAATGGCAAGGGAAAGTGAAATTGGTGAGAGAATGAAAAACACTGGGTAGTCAGCTCAGAGAAGAGAGTAGTCCTGTGGATATAATTGATTAAGTCCATAAAGAGTGTTTTCATAGTTATCTGCCGTATTTCATTTCCTTAAATAAAGAGCGAAACAAGAATGAACCATATCAGATGTAAGTACGGACAATTTCTTACAGCTTTCCCTTCATCCCTCCTAAGCTCATTTGCCGTTATTCTCTCTCTCTTCCCTTCACAGTCTCAGTCACTGTTTGACCCCTGCAAGTGCAGGCTGCAGGAGCTTAAAAACCATGGACTAGACCAACCCCACCTTGCGATCTTCACACTGCTTATTGCCCCATCAAACTCTCTGGGGCACTTCAGGAGGGCTGAAAACAGGTCCCCATTCTGAAACTCCAGCAGGAGAGCTTCTTGAAGACCTGTCAGTACAACGCAGCAATGTTGGACGAGAAGGCTAAGTTAACTTGCGTGTAGTGCTGTATTCGTTTAATGCAGTGCTGAGACTGAATGTACTTTGCCTCTCAGCTAGCTCCAGTTTCACACTGCTACACCAGCAAGACATTGTGGCTTTTGGATCACCTCTGCCTCACTTTTGACTTGCTCACAGAGGTGGAGCACACAGTGTTATCTGCACCCGACTCAACAGGTGTGCCTCAAAGTATATTGATTCTGCTTTTATTTTTTTATTCCTGCAGAGTTTGGGATCTGCCAAAGGAACTCATATGCTTTCAACCTCCTGCAAAATCTAGTTAGAGATATTGAAAGGCATCTATTACTACAGCTGATACCAGAAGACCAGGCGTTTCATTGCTGCTTTAGGCTGAACTCACTTCACACACTGAGGCCTCTTTGTGCCTCTCCAGTCCCCCCATCAATCACCTACCCCCTATGCCATCCTCCCACCCGTGCAACTTCAGAGATCACTTAAGAGTAAATCCATCCTCCCACCTCTTGGGTTCTCTGTGCGTCTATGTTACTCCCATCTTTTTCTTCCTCAGCAAGCTAGACATTCTGTGCCTTCCCCATTTTTTCTTGTCTTTCCACAGCAGAAATTTTCATTTTTATACACTGATGATTGCCTGGTACTTTACCTTTAGGTTCACCTATGGTAAATATGAAATCATGATGGTGTCTTCCCATGTACTCAAACCCAGGGCTTTTCTTTTGACTATTTAGCAGTGCTTCAAGCTGCGCACATCAAAATTAAGTTTCAGGCATTTTCTTCCTCCATAAAGCCTCTGTAGCTTTGGAGCTGAAAATTGTCTTCAGGTGGTACTTATTGAAATACAGTCCAAGTGCCATCTGTCTTGGTATTATCCTTGATAGGTCTCTGACTCACCACAGCCATCAACTTGTCTGGCCAAAGCTAAGGCTAAAGATATTTGCTGTCTTATGGAATCTATACAGATTTCTAACGCTTCCCTCACACTGACCTCGGCAGCAAACTCAGTGCTTCAGTCTGTACTTTCACATCCCACATTCTCCTTAACAATGTGTAGCTTTCTTCTGTTGCGCACATTATACTAAGGATCCTATGGCCTGTACTGGGACTCTGCAAACCTCCCTGTTCAGTGCAGAAGCATTGCTAGATGCAGAGATTTTTTAAAATGTTCTGAACTGCAGGTAGGGTGAGATGTGGATGTGACTCACACTGTTGTGGACTATCTCCTAGCCACATTGAATGTGGACCCAAACCTCAGTTTTTCACTGAAACAGCCACGGCTCAGCTTGTTTAGCAGTGCATTTATCAGTAATTATTATTAATCACTCTATTGTTATTCCTTCTTCTTCTGTTCTGGTGTCATACTGTGCACATACTCACTTTTCTACACAGTCCCTTTCTTCATGGTAAAATGCCCACCGTTTCCTCTAGTGGGAAGGGGCTCTTTGGGTGGCCATTGCTCCCCTCTCCTCCTTTCACTCAAAATGTTTGCTTTCCTTTATTTCATTCAAGATGACAACATTTTAAACTACTTCGCAATAACAGGCAGAACAAAAAATGTAGTGATTTCCTGTATGGGGCTAATGGATCCTGTCAGCCAGTTCATCCACTTACAGAAGTCATATGCATTTGAACTTGCTGGATATGCTAAACAATGTGTCAAGCTCAGTTGGCACCTCACTTCTATTTTATTGTATTTTTGGATTTTCAGTGAGATCAAAAGCCCACTGTCTTCTCTCCACTGGTCCACAATCGTTCTTTCATCAGACATTCATTTTGCCATGGTTAAGACTGCCTGGATCAAAATATAGAATTGCTTGCTGAGACCCATAGCATTCCACAGCAAACAGTTTGTGCATTAAGTATGACCCTCAGATCCCCTTGACGTTTAGTTGCTGAATCACACATTGAATGAAGTCTATGCAAAGCATAGCCAAGGCCTTAATTTTCTTCAGGCACAAAATTACCATGTGGCACATCAGACCCTTCCTGTTGGAGGGAAATTGTAGGTGACAGCATTGGGGAGAACTATTTTACAAACCTTCTTCTCGGACGTTCATTTTATTCCCCTTCATATTCAGAGTTTGTTCCCTCAGAGGCAGAGTAACGGTAATCTTCAACCAGCTAATACAAAATTGCCGTAAGAATGCCTTGCTACACCAAGTCCCCTAAATTTACACATCTTCCAGCTTTTCATATTTCTATTAGGAGTACAGATCTGGATCTGTTTTTGGAGCAAAGTGCTGAAAGTAACAGCATTTAACTAAATTATTCTCCTCAACTGCAATCAGCAGACCAGAAGTAAATGCACGGTCCAGCCTCAGCAAGTCTCAGAGTGCCACTTATATTTTCCTTTATTACAGCAACTCTATACTTATCATTTAAGAGTGCAGAATTTGGAATTGTTGGACACCAATTTGTCCAACTTGATGAATTTCAAAACTTCAAGGAAGTACATTTTAAAAACAGCTTAGAAAAAGCCAGTAAGAAATGAGAGAGCAAATTAACAAAAAACCCCATAAGACAATCAAAATCTAATTTTTTTTATTTCATTCCAGAGGCAACAAAACAGTTACGGTCCTGTGATCCTTCATGTAGGACCTGTGACGAAGATGCTAACGTGTGTACTTCATGTCCAGAAGGTAGGATACTTTCAGCTTCTTTGGGTAGTTTTTGCAAGTGGCTAAAATACTCTGTATCCTACACACTTCCAGGGAATATTTTGGTCAATGGTCAGTAGAAAGTTCTTTGGCAGCTTGAACCGTGAGAAGGCAATCAGATAATTAGAAGCTGAAGTCAGATACATATCAGCTAAGAATAAAGCACATGCCCTTAGCAGTAAGGGTAAAAAACTTATGAACTTGGTGTTGCCTTTCCTTTCTATTCAACCAAAAGCAGTAGACGTGATGCAGGAATTACTGAGTAAGGATTTATTCGGGAAGGATGTACCAGATAATGACAATGACCCTTTCTAACCTTACATTTCAGTGGAGGCTGAGCAAACTATTTTGGGGAACAGTTTAAAGAATGTTTCAGTTGCGGTTTTAAGCATCAAAAAGTTAAGCTTTAGGGAAGCTTAAAGGGTTTTTTAATAGCTGCAAGATTCTTTTAAACACATTTCTCTTTGGTCCCTTTCTCCGTTTGGGTTGCTGTTTTGCCAGGAAAGTTTCTTAGCCATGATACCTGTGTCTCTCAATGCCCTAAACAAACTTTTGGCAACGTGGAAAGTGGAAAGTGTGAGAAGTGCTTGGATGATTGTGAGGTATGCTCTGACCCCTGGCACTGTCAGAAGTGTCAGTCTGGACAAGACCAGCCATTCATCCTCCATGAAGGCAGATGCTTTCAGGAATGTCCTGAGTAAGTACTTTTTTAAACTTATTCCTATTTGCTGACTGCTCTGTAATCTCTCTCTATGTTCTTTCTTTTTATAGCTCAGATTCATTATCAGCCTTTCAAGGGAGAACTTAAGGTAGCCTTAGACACCAAAAACTACCACACGGCAAAAGCCGTTATTTTCAGCCGGCTTATGGTAATAACATTTGTTCTTGACTTGGAGTGGAGTTTAGACAACAAATTGTTTAAGAAATATTTTTGTTTCAGTGAAATGTACCTGCTGGGAAACTCTGATACATGCAAATATAATTCTTACAAGCTGTGTAACTGGACTGTTCTATAAACTTACTCTGACCAGCAGTTTGCTTTGTGTTTGTTTTAATTCAATAGGGGATATTTTAATGATTTTGGGACTTGCAAGGAATGCAGTGGATCGTGTAAGACATGCATGGGAAACGCCACCAAATGCCAGTCCTGTGAAAGTCCTTTGCTTTTGGAGCAGTGGGAGTGTAAACATACCTGTTCACAGATGTATTTTGCTTCTGAAGGAACCTGCAAACACTGCCCTCCAATGTGCCAGGAGTGCATTCACAATCAAATGTGCAAAGGTATTACAAGGAACTTGCCATGACTTAATTAAAATCAGATGGATTTACAAAAACACACTGACAGAAACACAGATCTGAAAAGAAATTTTTTAGTGAGCAAAAATGAAAAAATGGGTGTATATATCATCGCTAAACTCCTGAGATAGAAGCTGTGCTTTATCATGAGATTCAGCTGAAAATGTGTATCTGTAAAGCTGTTTTTCTGTTCTTTTTGTTTTTCAGGAGATTCCTATTGGCTTGATTCTATTTCTGATTTAGCAAATGGCAGGTCTTTCTGTGCCTAAATTCTTTAACATTTACAGCAGTGTGCAGTACAAAATGTTTCTTTCCTAATTTGGTTTAACTAAATCTCTTTGCCATTTTTGCAAATAGCTACTCAATGCAGAGGATGAAGCCTCTGTAAAGAAACATATCTAGTAATGCTCAGAAATCCTTGTAAGTCTGACTGCACACCCAAAAATTAAAGTGATAGTGAACCCTTAACGAGCAATCCATTCTGGAAACGTAAACATGGATTAAAAAAGCAAAGAATCGTAAACAAAGCCATTAAACGAGGTAGTTATAATAAAATTAACAGCTGAACCCGTATCCCAAATCGTAATACCATCCCAGCTCCCTGCAAAGTCAAACATCCAGGTACAAATATTCCAGTCAGAATATTTTAGTAATAAAGCAGACAAAACTTCAGATCTAGACATCCCTAATTTTGCAGGAAGTTCATGATCTAGATATAACACCTCACCAGAAGCCCTTCTTTATATAGCATCGGTGTGGTTTGGTTAATATCAGCAAAGCTGAGCAGCCTACTTGGCCTCAATGTAGCACGGAAGATGTTGCATGAGGTTCGGGCTGTTATGGGCAGATCGGAGGGCGAGGAATCAAAGGAAAAAGCAATACGTTCCCAAGTTGTCCACTTATCTCCTATTATAACAGGCACTGCGGGATTTATGGTTTCCCAGGATTTCTTCACTCCCTCACTTGTCAAAGTCAGAATTAGCTGCCCTGTGGCTTATGCACTGTTTTTGGTTCTCCGCAGTGTGCGTGGATGAGTTCTTCCTGCACGAAGGGAGGTGCGTGGAGGATTGCCCCTCTCCCTTCTACGCCGAAGACAAGCAGTGTTTCCCCTGCCACAGAGACTGCAGGGATTGCGATGGGCCCGACTCAGATGACTGTAACGAGTGTGCCATCAGCTTCTTTGTCCTGTACAATGGCGAGTGTTTTGAAGAATGCCCCAAAGGGACTTACTATGAAGAAGCAACTGAAGATTGCCAAGGTTGGCAGCCTTATTTTCTCCAGAGAAGTACTGAGATGCAAGTAGAACCGCTTGGATACTATTCCTAAAGGGTTTGCTGGTAAACCTGCCTAATGTAGCTGTGAGTGTCCTGAAAACAGAAGAGATCACAAAGGCATGATAAGACATAGTTTAGAACAGTAAAAATTAGAGAAAGCTGAGAGGGAGCTAACAAAGCTAGAGGTGCGCAAAATTACGTACTGCCGCTCCGGTAAAGAGCCAAGTATTGCTGGAGATAGTATGCTGAAATTTGCTGCTCAGCAAAAGCAGTGCCACTGCAGAAGGCAACTAAAGGAGTAGGCTAGGCTGCATAACATTGAAAATATAAACATGCTTGATTACGCAAAAGCAGACCTATTGCTCATTGCACTCAACCTCATACTGAGGTGAAGGCGGCTCCTTGTAAAATTAAAGCTGAAATAGTAATTTGAAATGAAAAGAGAAACGGTGACATGCCTGTTGTTTGTCCTTTCCAGCATGCAATAAGACATGCCAGACTTGTTCTTCTTCCACCGCCTGCCTTACTTGCAGAAATGGCCTGACACTGGACCGCAACGGGCAATGTTTGGCATCTGGATACTGCTCTCGCACTGAGTACCATGATGAGCAAACTCGAACCTGCAAGCCTTGTCATGAGAAATGCCTTCGCTGCTTGGGACCCACTGAACACCAGTGTCTTAGCTGTGCAAATAATCAGCATCTTCTCAGTGAGTACCTTGACTCTGCATCTAGATTTTATTTTACACTGAAGAATAGGGGAACATGAAATAGGCAAATTTTCTGTCCTATTCATGAAACATCTAGGACCACTTCAACCTAAATATTGCAAGGCTGACCTGACAAGTAAGTGGATGCGGAGATAATTACTTCTTCGGGGCTACCTGGGATATTTTCTGAGGAGTGGACAGAACTCTCATTCTGGGCCTCTGAGGCCAAAAGCAGACCTTCTAAGTAGCAACAAAGCCCGTGGCTAAACAAAACTTGTATTTGTTTCATTTGCTTCCTACTTACTGACACTTTTGTTTCCTTCGAGTAACCTGAAAAAGACAAAACGGACGTCCTTAGCTCCTGTTTTGTAAGTACACGGAGTTCACATTTACATGTTGGCTCACTTAATCCCTGCAGAGATTTGATGAACAAAGACATACTTAAGCAGAGAAGTTAAAAAATTGTTTCCAGATCATTAGGTCAGTTGCTAGTGGATGGTTGAGAAGTAAAACTACTTTTTTCTTCTGTGTTTGGAGCAAAAAACTGTATTGTCTCAGAATCATGTTGGTAAAAAGTATAAAATCCCAGGACTTACTTAAACTTTACCTCTTTGCACATTTAAAAAAAAGTGGACAAAAATTAAAAATTTCATTTAGAGAAAAACTGATTAAAATGATCTGTAATTCAGGAAAAATCTAAAGTAAATTTGAATTAAAACACTTACTCTGGGCTATCCACATCTAATTCTGAAGCAGATTTTGACTTCTTGAATTTCTGAGGACTCGTCTCAGACCTGGCATTATTACTAGCACACCCAACTTACCATTACCATTGGTAAAGTAGAAGGAAGTACTTAAATAAACAACCTGCAGTGGAGAAAAAAAATGCAAAAAACATAGAAATAAAGAAAAGTATCTGCCTTTGCCCGTTTGTAATCTGAGCTGCAAAACAGTAAGGACAAGCTAGATAATTAGTACAAGCTATTAAAGAGTAATCACTGTTCCCTTGGCTTCATGCACTTGCAGTTAGTTGATTCAGTCCTGTCTTTTCATTCCAGATTTCTATTCTGCTAATGACCCTCTGAAATCTCAAGCAAACAATGTGATGTACCTGGTGCATTTAGCAGTATTAGAGGTGTATGTTCCCCTTACACAAAGCGGCAGCCACACACGGGGACAAAGATCAATGAACAAACATTGTTAAAGCTCAAACTTCTTACCACTGGATTTGCCAAATACACGGATTGCAATAAGCCTGAAAGAATGCACTTAGAATCAGAGCAAAACTTAGGGAAAATGGTAATGTAGCTAGAGAGATAAAGTTTCCTGATTATTATTTCTTTCTTTGTATATTCTGCAAGAAATCACAGCTGCTGTTTATTACTTATTATGCACTGCACTTATATTTTCTAAAGATTAAAAATGATTTGTTCTGAAGAGCATGCTAACGTGCCTAAGACTCAGAAGTGGAGACTAATGAAGTGAGAAGACTTGGAAGAAACAAAAATAATTAGGATGTCCTGATGCTCCCTTCACTGGCTTTGTTACAAACTCTTAACAGCATCTCCTTTTAGAGTTTGCTCCGGCATAGCTGTATGAGATTTTTATAGCAGCAAATACTGAATATGATCTGTTATTCTGCGTTGTTCTCTGTGCAGATACAACCTGTGTTGAAACATGCCCATACGGATATTACGTTGACAGCGACGAGGGACAATGTTCCCCATGCCACAGCACCTGTGACACTTGCTTTGGAAAACACAGCTCACAGTGTCTCTCCTGCAAACCTGGCTGGTACAGGAAAGGAAAAGGATGTGTAAATCAATGTCCAGCTGGGTAAGGTCCAAGATTTTTAACAAAGAGCTCCATCACGGAGGGAGCTTTGAGAAACCAGATCACTCTGCCCTCAGTCCTATCTTAGGATGAAAATGTCTCAAGCTAGCCTAGCACCCAGAGGCGATGTAAAACCTCCCTTTCCAGTGAGAACCAGACAGATGCAGTTGGTGCCCAAGCTGGAGCCAACTTGATGTGATGCAGCAATTCTTAAAAGCTCCAAGGACTCTCTAAGATTATGCTTACACAGATCAGCACGAAACAGACTAAATATACTCAGCTATCCCTTCATTAGTCAGCTTGAGCACAGGACGCAGTGTAGCTGGCTTCAAGCACCGTTGCAAGCTCTGCCTAGCCTGAAGTTTGGGTGTAGTTACTTTTATTTTACACTGAGTGAATGTTTATAATGGATCCTAATAAAACCAGCCATTAAAACATTATTGAACTGAAGAGCAACTTCATTAATATGAGTCCATTAAACTTCAAAATGTGAATTCAGTTTCATCTTGTGAGTGTCTCAGAAATTGGAATCTGGGAAGTGGACCTATGACTGCCAGTTCAGGTCCATTGCATTTTGCAATACAGTACAACCATGCTGGCTGTTAAACTCAGTTATCAATCTATTAATTTGGAAGTCTACATCAACTACCCCTCAATACAACCACTCTGCAGCTATTCCTATTTTTCTCTGATTGCACAGTTTAGATGAACATACTATTTCTCTCTTGGTGTCTTTTGGCTAGGCCTGTTTGTGGGCTTTAAGGAAATATGGAATTACAGAATTTCCACCTGACAGCAGGGCATCAGAAGTAGTGAGGAATTAAGTGTTTGCCCGACATGTCACAGGATGTTTGTGGCAGAGCCAAAATCAGAGTTTAGGTTTACTGAGTCCTGTCTATTTATTTGTTTACTTTGTACCTGAATTCACCCTCTATTTCAGAAAGCCTTGCTTCATAGCTGACTTCCAACAGGCACATGCAATCTAAGCAAATTCATTCTACTTCCACTGAGATGCAAAAAGTATTTTGATGTAACTACAGTAAAAGTTCAAGAGAAAGGATATTTCAGCCTTTCCTGTCATTATTAGGCATTTGCAAAGCCCAACACTATCTGACCCATTTCAGATACTTCGCACACTCCGCTGGATCATGTGAGAGATGCCACAAGAGCTGTAAGGAGTGTATGGGACCTCAGCCTACAGACTGCCTCTTCTGTGATACGTATTTTTACCTGTTGCACTCCAAGAATGAATGTGTTAGCTCTTGCCCTGAATATTACTATGAAAACAAGGACAACAACATGTGTGAAAGATGCCACCCTTCCTGCCGAACGTGTGAAGGTAAAAGCATACACTCTGCTTTGACAAAATAAGAATATCAAAACACAAGCATATCCTTTTTTTTTTTTTTGTTCTGGCTCTGCTCCAGTATTTGGAAACTCCTCACAAGGAAGTGTAGTAGTAGCATATATGGCCCCACTAAACTACCTCTGGCCTAAGGAGCTGAAGGAGGTGGCACAACCCTCCTGGTGGGCTGCCAGACCCTCCCAGGCCCTGGCTCATTCACTCAGCTGGCTGATCTGGGCTGCCACCTTATTTATGGAGTATCGAATGACTAAGATTAAAGAATAATATCAATTCCTACCGAAAACACTGAATAATATCCCACTCCTCGAGCTATCATACTAAAAGTGCCACTCTGTGAAACCCAAGGAATCTAAATCCATCTCCACATTTTTACAGTCTCGAAAGGAAAGAGTAGAAAATCAACAGCTACCAACACAGAAAGGCCACAAAGCGCCTTTAGGGCAAAAAAAAAGTAGTGCTCATTTTTTGAGCACTTTTTTGAGTAGTGCTCAAAAAAAAGTCTGCTGCTTTGAGTATAATTAAGATTTTTCAAAGATAACTTTGAGAGACCCTTTGTTTTGTTCTGTGACACATTTATGAATTCCATATCTTTTTACCCTAAATTATACAGCATCCAATTCTGAACTGGGTAGCATTATTCTCCTCGGACCCATCAGTGTCCTATACTATCTGAATGGCATCACATGACAGCTAGCAGGTGCCACTCTGCAGCTCAGACTGTACTGTACTAAAACTTTAAAAATATCTTTTGGACAGTGAGTATATTGGATAGTGCAGATGGCTAATTGCAACATAACCATATTTAAGATTGTAGAAATAACTCCTAGAGCAGAGCCACTTTCAAGAACTGTTAAAAGGTAATTATACAAGTATAGTACAATAAATTACAGCAATATTTTGGCTTGGATTTGGGACAAAAAGAGATTATCATTTTAATTTACAGACTGCTTCCTGTGATTGATTTTTATTTTATTTGGGATTAATACTACGGGATAGATTTTCTATCTTAATTACAGGGACAGTACGATGAAATATGAGCCTAAACAGCAAACCTGTAGGTGTTTTGAAATGAATCTGCATTGTTGATGTAGGAAACAAGAAGTGGTGCAGAGTCTCGTGATTCACATGACAAGGGAGGCAAACCCTGCATTGCTCAGAAAAATCCCATAGTGAATTCATAAAACATTGGATTTTGTGAATCATAACGCATTGCTGACTTCACCTGTTTAACTATTGCTAATGTTAACACCTTCTTTTCAGAGAGTGGCAGAAGATGCCTAGTGGTAGGAAACTGAACACACGCATTCTCACATGAAGCAGGATAAAATATTCACTTCAATGATCTGCACAAGAACTGCATGCAACATGTCTTCAAAAATGCTCTCACGCACACAAAGCACATACGATACTCTGTTTGCATCTAGTGAAACAATTTTTTCCTATGCAACTGAAGAAATTATATTTTTATTCAAACATCAATGTATGTTAATTCATTGTAGTTTGAAAAGGGTTAGCTAAGAGCCCTCACATCTACTGACTTTGCCTATGAGAGAATTTGGCCGAAGTTTCCCACAATTTTACTTTAGTGAGCTGATTTCATTGATTCTCCTGAATGCCTCTGAAAGTCCCTGTGCAGGCACAGCACAAATGACCAAGCCGGGTGGCAAACCAGTTGCAACGCTAAGGAAAAAAAACAACGCACAGAAGTTCAACACACTACTTGTAGTTCGTAATCAGCTTTTCAGGAATTTCAAAATATACAAGAAATACACTTTGTGGGCATGTAAAACTTCAAGACGAAGCCAAAGCTCTTTCCAGTACTGACCTCCTCATACTAGATAGTTTACTGCTGAGTTTCAATGATAACAAATGTCCCTTTTCTTTGGTTGGGATAATCAGTGTATTTCTGAAAGGAAGTTAGAGGACTTTTTTTTTTCTGTTCTAACACTGTTTTATTTGCCTTTCTAGGGAATGGAGCATTCAGCTGCACATCTTGCGTATGGAGCTACACTTTATTAGGTGGAATGTGCAACTCAGACTGTCTTGTAGGTGAATACAGAGTCCAGGAGTCACCAGTACCAGAGGTACCTATTTGAAGGCATTTTCTCCTGCGATTTATATGCTGAACTTTAACTTCTGAACACAGGGGGAAGAACACAGAATGCTCTTCTCCGAGTTTTTGAGGCTGCTTTTCTTTAACTATTCCCACTTTTTTTCTTCTCTTACTTCTCTTTCTGGGGCTGCCTGCTGTAGGAGGATTTCTCTACCAGTACATATTAAGACACAGTGATGCCAAAGGCCATACCAAAACCATGTGAACAAAATCACCTATATCAGTAATAGAGTAGTTTTTCTTCTGGTATAACTGAGATTTCCCCAGGGATTTCTGCTGTTTTATTTCTAAGAAATCGTATCACATTCCTAACCGAGAGTTCTGCTGGCAGAAACCTCTAGTGAAGAGACAGGCTGAAGTTAACAGAGCTACATCTCTCCCAAGCAGGACCACAACCAGGTTTGGGTCTGTGCCACAAGCCTGGACACCCCAGCTTCCAAATTTCTGCTCCAGCTGCCTTCCAGAGCTGTTTGTTCAAGAATATAGCAGCATGCCAAGCCAGTTGGCCTGAGATGCTGGATACCCTGGAGTCTCTGGCCTGGTGAATGCCCATAGCAGGGCTGCTCCATCACTGTGAACCTGAGAAGGCAGCCGAAGAGCCAGGGACTGCAGTGCTTCACAGTTCCTTGCAAGAGCTTTGTCCTGGAGAAACTGGACCTCCCAGCAGGGCCTCCCCATTTCTTCCATGCTCTCAGATTCAGGGCAAGTAGCCGACCAGCTCTCAGAAATCCATCCAGTTTGATGTAAGGTTATTGCACGGTATCTGGGGTCCTGGTCCCATGGCAAAAAACATAAGGAACATTTGCCCAGTAGACCACCCAGGAACTGCAGACACTGGAAGCCCTGAATTACCCAACCTCAGAGCAGTCTACGGAGGTATGTCTGGCAGCGATGAGCTCCAGCAGTCTTTGTACATAGCGGCTCCAAGAAATCTACCTGGAATTTGAAAAGAGTACTTGAATCTAAGTGGTTCCTATGAAACAAAACCAAAGTGATCTAATAAAAGTCTGTTTTGCTAAGAAAACTTCCAGCCAGCTTTATTCCTTATTTCTCCTCCTTCCCGGGTGGAAATGGAATTCATTCTCTCATTTTCTTATTTTTTTCCCCCCCAGAATATTTCCTCTTGCTTATACCACTTCAGTTCCTTCTTTAAGGCTACTTTACTGTCGTTACCATTATTAGTGCCAAAGACGCACAGACCAGCTAATAGGGGTCTAGCAAAAGAAAAATACAGCTTCTGGCCAAAGAGCTGACAGTCAGAATGAATTTTTGCTAGCTATCCAGCTAGGTCAGATTGCAAACCAAGCTTCTTCTACACTGCTTTTTCACTCTCCTTACCAGCAGATCACTAAGAACCTAGGCAGTATGAACCAAATTTTAGTTTTCCTCAGTGAATTTTGCCATAGACATCCATGGTGTCCAGACACGAGGACCCAGACAGTGACAGGGCAGAAAAGTCTAGTCCAAAGGAATGGAAATGAAGGGAACATTGCTTGTGTTCTGTGTCTCAAGGAGGACCAGCTCAAATGTGAGAAATGTGACAGTACATGCACTGAATGTAAGGGACCTGGGCCTCTCAACTGCACGATGTGTCCAGCCAGCACGCAGCTCTACCTCCAAGAAAGTCGCTGCCTGCCTTGCTGCGGTGACTCTGATGCGGCAGACAGCCCAGAGTGCTGTGACTGCAGTGAAACGCAAGGTAGGACCATGCTGATGAGTGGTACTGGTGTTTAAGGGCCTTATGATTCCCTGGGCTGACATTTAAAAAGGAAAAGCAGAAAATGACAAAAATATGCTGCTGAGCTACACGCATGCAATGTATTTCTCCTGCTCCATCACCAGAGTAGAAAGGGCTTTATACAAGCAACAATTGCAACAGATATAAAAGACGTCCCCTTCTCTCACTCACAACTCATTTCAAATGGCCGTGCATTTCATAACCCTGTGGACTGGGAAATGCTTGTTCGAATGGATAGCACTGAATCACACACACTTTAAGCTCCTCATATCAAAACCACCCCATTGACTTTGAAGTAGCTGCAACTTATTATACAAGGGAAGATTTGGAGAGAGAAGAAATGTTTTTATTAGATCAAATCGATACAACTGGGAAAAACAGACAGGCTTAGGGCACACAACCTATCTTCAAATCTTTTCTAGAAGCCAGAGAGTTAAAAATATAAATATTTCTTGGGATGTCATGTTTCTTGCCTAAACTTAGGAAGCAGGTTGTGTTTGTGTACTTGTTAGCTTTTCTGCTTCTTTCTTATTATTCCTAATTTAATGAAGAAATGTAGCTATCCCAACAACCTTCTCCTGGCTTAGATCCTTATAACATCACTGCCACAAGCACACAGCTGTTGTACTGGAAGAATAAGGTATTTAATCCAAAATATTTAAAGATGTAAGCAGGCCTAAATGTTCTGCTGGGTCATTTAAAACAAAGACCCCCACCTGACTTTATATAATCTTTTTTTTTTTATTGCTGTTGTCAGATGACTGTGTCTTACGGATCACTCCACCACCTGAGCGCAAAAGCAAAACCAGTCTCTTTGTTATTACCTGCATTTTGCTACTCCTTGTCATTGGAGCTATTATATTTATTTGGAGAAAATCACGAGCTAAAACTCAGGCTGCCAATAAAAGGGGGTATGAGAAGCTGACAAATCACTCCAAAGCCTTTTCTTCCTACATGAGCAATTCCCATGAGAGCACAAGCTATCAGGAGGATCAAGTGATTGAGTACAGAGATCGAGATAATGAAGATGAAGATGATGATGACGATGATGATATTGTATATATGGGCCAGGATGGGACAATCTATCGTAAATTTAAATACGGACTTTTGGAAGAGGACGAAGAAGATGAGCTTGAATATGATGACGAAAGTTATTCGTTTAGATAACTCTTTACTAATTTATGGATTTTTCTGCTCTGCTGCCCTACTTACATTTACAATTTAGTTAAGTATGTTTAGTTATTTCTTAGTATGCTGAGATCAAGATTTTAGCTAATGCACATTGTGAGAGCAGAATGGTTTCTAAAAACACATATTTTTTTCTAAAGCTTTACATTAAATCTTGCTAGGCTTTCAAATAGCACTCCAGATGCAGGCTGGTTAGAGATTACATTTCTGTGCGTTCGTCTGGAGAGTATATCCTTTCCCAATACGTTTGTGTGTGCGTTATAAGCGAACACTCCTTCAAACAGCATGCGCGCACGCGCACATGCACACACACACACTTATTGAGAACCTTGCCAATCCCTACTAAAAAGGTGCAGATAGAAATAAGATGGGTGTATTTGCCTGCACAGTGAATGTCGCCGGCATAGGGTGCCACTTCACTGTTTGCTACTTTGTGATTATAGTTGTACAGCAATTCATAACACAATAGGTGATTTTGCCGATTTTACCCAGACTTCCTTTCTTCGTATGATCTGGCATATGTGTGCCCCTCAAAACTGACAAATTTCACTTCATAATCTTGTGGCGTATTTTGCAGTTAAATTATGTATTTATGACATGATGTTGAAGATTTGTGATTGTGACTCTATTCCAGATAAAACTCCACTGTATTCATAGTGTATCTATTGAAAATATCTAAAGTATTTTACATGTCATCAACCTCTGATGATTCTTAATTCCAGTGGTTGTAAGGCTTAAATAAACTTTCATTACACATACGTTTTTGTGTTTACTGCAGAGGAAAATATAGTCTATATGTCTGCTCAAGAAAAGAAAAAAAAAGACTCTTTTTGTCTTTTTAACTACCTTCTCAGGATTCAGGGAACTGATATAAACACAGAGCATTACTCAGGCAACTTTTCCATTTCTGTTGTAAATGGCTCAGGAGGTTCGGACTATGGCTAAAGGTATAATTAGCACTTATTTGGTAAAGTAACCCAGAGGAACACATCAATGCGATTTTTTTTATCATTACAGAAATGTAATTTATCATGCTATCGATAAGGATGCTTTTTATGGCCCCTTGCTGTGAAAGAATAAATTCTTTGCAAGAAAACTATCTTGAAAGTGCTGTTATTTGTCAACACTACTGCCAGGTGGGTAAAAGAATGGCCTGAACCTTAGAAGCTCGGCTTTAGTCTTTTGCTCTCCCAGAGTTCCTGTAGATTTCCAGTAAGAATCATTTCTAGAAAACTAAATCAATTAGATTTAGCTTTTACAGAGGAATTCAGTTGGAGCATACCTAATTTTTATGGCTCCAGTCCTAAGTGGGATTTTTTGCATTAAATATTCCTGAAGACCTCAGGACCCTTCTGTATACAAGTATAAAGCAGTTCCACAGAAAGGTTTTTTTGCCTCCACTTTAAATTTCAATCTTTTAATCATTGTGACTTCAGAAAAAGAGAGGAATTCAGAATCATGTGCCGGATTATAAAAGACAAAACAAGGACCTATATTTATCAAAAGAGGTATAATAACCAGTCACTTTGGAAAGATATTTCTGTCACTTTAATTCAAGTTCTTAACTTGGGAAGCTCTCTAGACAAAAGAATGAAAAGAGTGAAAAATCAATTCAAAAGGCCATACTGAGAGAAGAAGACTGTATGTGGTATCCTGCTCTCCTACCCCCGTTTGAGTAAAAAATATACTTTGTTATTGTTTGTAGTGGCTTATATAAGCTGAGTGTAAGAATGTGCTTTGACACACACCATCTGAAATCGCTCCAATGAAATTTCAAAGGCTTAATCCAAGGTACCCCTGAGCAGCTTAAAATCACTGCAAGAGAGGGATATAGTGAGCATTGTTTCAGGCTCTCAGACTACCATCATTATTTTATGAAGCTTGGTGTATTTAGGTACCCTGAATGCTTTACCAAAAAAAAAAAAAAAAAGCCTTCATTTTTGAAATGTGGTTTCTTAAGAGAATTTTGTCCAAATTTGTGCAAGTCAGACTAGGACAAAGCTACCTTTCTGAGTATGCATCCAGGAAATGAAGAACTCTAAATTCTTCTCAAACAGCAATTCTTTTCAGAGGTTCTTTGTCTTGGTTCGGGCATACCACTTCAATCACATTTTGAGTTTATCAGCTACATATTCCTCTTTCACTCTTGAGGCTTTCTGCTCTCCAGTCTGACTCTTTCTTTCCAGCATTCAGAGCCTTTAATGTACAGTTCAGGATCCCAGATGTCAGAAAGCAGGGAATACTTCTCGTAGTGCTAAAACTGCACAGGCAAAGCTGAAACAGTGCTCATTAGGATAGAAGTAATACTATTACTCTCCTCCCAAAAAAGCAGTGCTTTGGGGGTGGGGGTAATTGACTTTTCAGATGAGAAGCCAATTTTCTGAGAGGCACCAGGAGAATTCCATGATTTTATGCTGCATGGATAGGGTGAAAAAGCCCATGTTTTACAAGATGGCAGGTAATTGGCTTGAAGGTGAACCAGTCTTCTTAGAAGAGTGATAATTAACTAATAAATGGCATTAGCAGGACACAATATGAGGAAGAGAATTGCAGTAAGATAGTTTTTTTTATTTTAAAGCAGCAGCTTCGAAGCAGCGGTCAAGGAGGCCCAAACCACTGTCCTACAGAACCATATTGCTTTTAGTGTTTTCAGTTAAAACTCCATGCTGAGAGTGCACAGGCAGACCAAGAAAAATTACACCATTTATGACAAGTCATTCTTTTAACAGATATTGGGTGAGAGAGAATCATTCACACGTCAGTCACATCTCTGAAGAAACTTCATGACAAACAAAGCACAACCAAGGAAGCCAATAATAAACGTATACGGAACACAGCACAGAAAGGATTTGAAATACTGGTTTTCCGTTCTACTTTATAGATAACGAGTGGCTATTACACTCTGTCCTGAAAAAAAGCTAGAGAAATTCAAAGCAACCAATCCTTACTGGCACAAAGCCATATCATCTTCTTTCCATTTTTCTGGGTTCTCCTCCACCCACTGTAGCGAGAAAGATGCCCCAAAGGAAACATATACATTTAAAAAACAAAATGGCTGTGGGATCTCTTTCATCCACCTACTCTCTAATTTTTTTTTCTTTTAAATCAGGCCGAAATTCCTGTCATCTTTGGTAAGTTTCTTTTACTTTCTTGCTTGTCAAATTTTTCTTCATCTTCAGGCCTTCTCTGCTTTCTTTTCTTCACCCTGCATTTCTTTCTTTGCCATTCTCATTCATCCATGGAGTTCCTCAAGCCCTGCATTCTTCTCCAAGTATTTGTATTTTTATCTTTCTCCTACGTAATTCTCTCTCATTACTCTTTCATTAATACTTTCAAAAAGAGCTTGTAAAATGAAATTGTACACATTTTTCCCACCCAATTACCTCTCATGTAATCCAGTAATTAGATTTCAAAGGGAAGCATAGGTTACTTGTGTTCTGCAGTGTTGTTGTTCTTCCAGTCGAGCGTAGGTAAAAAGGGAAAAGTTTTCTCTTCCATGACTACTCTGAGGTTTTGCCACAAAGGCAGTGGGCAGAACGAACATCCTAGGAGTTACAGTTCAAGTGCCTTGAGGCCCAAGTCTCCTTCCTCTACAGGCTACTGCCTGGTCAGTCTAGTCTGCTTTCTCGGTTTTTCGCGTCTCAGGGTTATACAACAACTACATGATTTCTGGCTGAGATTTCAAACTGGGATTTCCAGTCAAAGAGAAGAATGAAAACATGAAAGACTAAATTGCATACATTACTGGTCGAAGCATCCCAAGTGGAAATTTTGAGGCATTTGGTTTTCTCATGAACAATAATGGGTGTTTCAAGGGAAATATACGTATGTTCATTAAAAATGTTTTATTGGCAATCAAGTTTTCCACTGGAAAAAGTTACCTATAGAAAAATTCTGATTAGCCTTAAGAAGCCACCACTTGGTGGGCAGAAAGATACCTTCCTTTCAGCTGAGTAGACCAATGTTAACTATAGGGTTTTCACCTTCCCTACAAGCTCATATGTACATGTGTGGTTTCATGCCTGACTTCTGGAGCAACTAGATGTGCAGATTGATGAGGAACAGACAGACGTTCTGACTAAAGGTTCAGCGGGATTAACAGATGTTTTAAAAGTTTTTTTTCCATCTTGTTTTTTTTTTCCCCTAATTAGTGTGTATATAATGACAATACCAAAGATGCCTTAGGATTACACATCAAGGTTTAAAAACTCATTTCAAGTCCTGAATCAATTTAATACAAAATATTTTAATAGTGATATTACCTTTTCAAGAACATACAGATAAATACATGATTTATCACATTTACAATGAAGCTGCAGAAGACGTAAGATCCTGGCTGGGTAACGCACACGTGCAATGAACTAAACAAACGCAGAGATATTAAAATCCAAAATTACTACTTGACATCAAATGCACATGTAACTTCTGCTTTTCTTCCAATATATATATCTTACGTCCCTACCTTTATTGATTGTTTCCTACTGCTTAGAAATATTTAGGGAGTTGCTTAACACACATCGACAGGCTGATTTAAGCAAAATCTCTGTGATTCTATCGTGAACACAACAGAAGACAATTTTTCCCTTGGTCAAGAAATAATGTTATAATGCTGACAGAAATTATGATTTTGTTTTCTTATTGTCTCTTCTCAGATGGTTTAAGCAGGAGGAAGAGCTCTTCAGACCTTTGTCAAGGAAACAGATACACTAATCTTTCCTTTGTATGATTTTGCAGATTTATATCACAAATCTAACTGCACAGTAAAAAAGGAAGTAAGTATTCATTGTTCTTCATTTATATTAGCTATTCAGCATCAGGATAAGTACATTAGCTTTTTCTAGAAGAGTTCAGGTTCTACATTTATCTAACATTCATTATGCTAATAGTTCTTGCTCCATTTTTTTTTTTTCCTCATGTTTCTCCATCCTTTCTCACTGTTTATATCATTCAAAAATCCTTATCTAATTATTCCACTGTATACTTTCTCCTCTTTCCTGTCACTTAACATCGCTTCACTACCCAGTTTTCCCTCTTTGTTCTGTATGCCTAAACAAACCTAACTTCCTCACTTGGGTGTTTCATCTTTAGGAAATAAAAAAAGCCACATGCAAATACTACATTGAATTCTGCCTTCTACTTTCACTGATAAATCTTAACACTGTAGGAAAAACAAATGAAATGCAAACATAAGAGCAAAACAGTAACCAAAAAAAGTCTTCAACAAGAAAACAAGAATTAATTCCCAAACAATATAAGTCATTACCTTAAGTTATATAATTCATTACACAATAACTGCCATTATTAGCCATGTTCGTAAAGCTCCACACTATATAAAAACCAAATCAAGCCATAAATCTATCCAAATGCTCCCCTGGAGAAGTTGATAATACAAATTGTCTAACCATCATACTAGCAAGTACCGCCTTCTATTCATTAGTTTTTTCTCAAGTCTTTCTTCTCCCTTCAGAAAACTACAGGCAAATGGGGGGAAAAAAAATATAGCCCTATAACAGAGCACACTTATTACAAAATAAATCTGAAGGCAATTTGATATTTTTCATCTCATTTCAATCCCAGGAAGAAAATTGGTAGAAAATCTGGATGCTTGGAAATTACAGAGCTAATTACAGAGCTGTTAAAGAAAATCCTAAATAATATAAAGGCTCGAGGATTTTTCCCTTTTATATCCACGCCTCCAGTCTGGACACTGTGGTATTAGCACCACAAACTCTGTCAAATAGCAAACTACACCAGAATCCACTGCACATAACACAAAAAGCAATCCCTACAACATATTCACCACACCACAATATATTACATTCTTTCCTCATGTAACTTCAATAATATTATATAGAGAGCTGCATATAAACAGTTGCCAAGTGAGAAAGTATGAGAGAAGCTTTTCCCCCAAAAAGGTCTGAGCCAGATAGATTAGTGTGCTCTAAGACACAGGTCTCAATCTTCTTCAGCAGCACCAGATGAACCTTCCCCATGGCCTAGAGTAATGTTTTAACAATTGAATCAGAACATAAAGAAAGGAGGCAGCTTTTTCCATCTGACTTTCAAAACCTTTTAAAATTGCTTGTTTCTTTCAGAAGAAAGGGTAAAGGCAAATCTGTTTGTAGGTTTCCGGCTATGAATTCTAAGCTCTCTGACATTCTGAATAAAGCACAAAAAGTCTCCAGAGTGCAGAGGTTTGCAGGTGTATTGTAACTAGTTTTAACGAACTCTAAGTACTTTTTTTTCCTAATCATCCTAATCTTTTGGCAGTAACATCAAGCTTTGCATAGGACTGACAATTTTGCTGCGTATGGCAAAGGAAAGCACCTTAGAAGCCTAGTCATTATCATAAGCCTCCTTAAACACAAGAATTATTGAACAGCAACAATGGCAATACGCTTGACTCTTACACAACTACGTGGTGATTCTCACAGAGACAGAGCAAACTATTTCCAAGAATTGTTACGATAGACTTCTAAGTCTAAGGCAGAGTAAGAATTTAAAAGGACACCGTATCCTACTGCTCTAGAAACAACGTTCTAGGAAAGAGATGCTGTTTGTCAAGACACGAAAAACACTGGGAATTCTTCTGAAGTAAACTTGCATAATTCACCTATTGGAGCTTTGCAATTGTTATATTTATGGGCAGTCACCAGACATACATTTACATGTATTTAAAAGTAAGAACTTTCATCTCCTGTCTCAGGACAATCTTGCAAAACAAATGTGGCAGATGAGAATGCAAAATATCAGCAAACTAGACTTCACAACTTCCACTCTTCAGCAGAAATGTTACTAATGGTATTTTCCCGAATTTTTATTCATCTGGAAAACTATGTTCAACAACCCCCACATTCACAAAATTTATATGAGTTATTAAAAAAAAAATGAAAATATATTCACATTAAGCAATAAATTTAACAAGATAACTATTCTATTTTTTCTAAGAATATAATAAGTCTATAAGAAAAAAACAGGACGTTTTTATGCAGGCTTCAAGTTTTAGTGGGCTAGATTTCATTTTCGTTCAGTTTTAGAAAAAGTTAGATTGCACACGAAGGGAACCTGTCCCAAGGTAAGAAGAATACCAACTGAATAAAGGTTCCATGTCTGTTCCTAGGAAGACTGTCAATTCAGAAAGTAACTAGCTATACAAGAAACCAGTGTGCATAACTATTCCAGATTATTTTTCTGTGCAGATTCGGCCTGAAGTTTTTCTATACATGAAGGCATGCTACATTTTATTACCTTCTAAGCATATGTTCTTTAGGCTATTAGGATCTCAGGTAGTTTAGTGCCACAGTTATTCAAGCAAGACTGTTTTTGACTACCTGCATTTTGAAAAAAAAAAAAAACAAAAAACAAAAAACTCATATTGACATTCTCACATTGTCAATAAACTTCATTTTGGAATAGTAACAGACTTCAAAAAGAGACAGTCAATTTAAATTGAGAAAAAAAATCTTGTTTTATTTTTTAAAAAAATGTGAGACTGTGGAAATACTTATATTCCTCAAACTTCAATATTTCAGTGGTCCTCTAATTTAGATGAAGCAAGATATGAAACCCCTTTATGCCTCACTCGCTGTTTGTAGCGCCTTGCACGTAAAGAAGTGCAAATATCTACAGTTATCATCTCTGTGACTCAAGTACTGCAGCACTAAGTTTATAAGCATGAATAACAGAATTCTTCCTTCCCGAAGCTGAAAGAAAGAAAAGCAGAGTAATGAAAGAAATCCACAGTGCATCTTTCAAAATATGCTAAGGAACATGCAAAGATGATTAGTATCACATACAATCAATCAGAAAACTTATGACAAATAGAGTTATGACTTTCTCAGTTACAGTTCATTTATTAATGGTACAGTGCAGCAACATTAATTGAAATAAATAGTTATTTGTATATAATACAAAAATATAAGCCTTCATAAAGTTTAAATTGTGCTAGGAATTATGTACTAAATTTAAATAATTGATATACAATACTTTATCTTAAATAACATGCATGGATAGGTACACTCAGGCAAATGAATGTAATTACATTTTCTTAACTTGAAGACAAACACATAAAGAGCAGTTTATTAGTTCTCTGTAGCCATACTTCACACTGCAGGTGAGAGCTGTGAGCAAACTAACAGTTTTTCAAGTTTTCCCTTTGCCACCATTCTCTATCCTCGGCACAGTGGCTCAATAGCCAAATCAATTTTGGAGAGTGGCATTCATTAGCAATTACAGAAAAGCGTTACTCAGACAATCAGCATAAGGCACCACGGTTTCCACAAACAGACACATGAAATCACTGGCAAAAAATAATTTCAAATAAGGCTATGAGAGTTTAGCTATAACACCACGATAAACAAAGACTTATTTTTTAAATATGTTCTTGATAACGTATTTTGTCCACTACTGCTTGTACTACTTGTTCCTCCAAAAAGCAAGATGTAAGTAAGATTCTGACGCTGTTACAAACCCAAAATAGCTCAGCTCTTTGTATTGGGGAAAAAAAGTCCCTTCCATTTTAAAGTGAAAAAAAATCCAACCATCACTCTTGCAAGACAACTATTGTAGAGATTTTTAGAATACAGTTTCCAACATGTTATATAGCAGAAGCCCACTAAATCACTTTTTTTTTCAAAATAGCATTTTTAACAGCAGATAAGTTAATTTTCTCCCTAATATTCTCCTACTGAGAAGGCAAAAGTGTGCTGAAAAAGTCCAGGCAACTGTTAGGACAAAATTGTCAGCGACTTTGGAGAGTAAAATTTATAAACCTTAGGTACAGAAGTCAAAATGCTGTTTATTCTAACCAGCGCTTATGCAGAAATCACTTCCTCTCCGCCCCT